GCCCTTCCCTGACCTGAACGTATGACCCGCTTCCATGCGCCGCCGTGTTAAAGAGAGCACAACATGCTCAAAATATTCCTTTAATGACATGCAGCACATGTGAGTCACAGCTAAGTTACAGAAGGTCAAAAGCCACACCACTCATTCATTCATTCATTTTCTTTTCGGCTTCATTAAGTCAAATAAAAGTCTGCATGAACCGGAAGCTGTGCCTGTTTTTTTTTTTTTTTATTGTGACGCAGTTCCTAGAGGAACTGAATAATAAACAGTAAATCGTAAGTGTGGATTGTTTTGGATGTTGATTGGATGTAGTAAAGTGGAAAGATGGAGAAAGGGTTTAGGGAGAGTTATTGCAACCTAACAGACTCCTCCTCCTCACCACTTCAGTTTGTTGTCACAATTTATGCTTGGAGTGGTTAAGGGGTGTGGTTAAGTATGCTAGCCACACCCAATACCTCAGACTGACCTAAATCTGCGAATTTACCTGAAAACAAACAGGAAGCGCTTTTACAGATTTCAATTTTAGATTTCAGAGGCAAACAATTATTTTTATTTTTTAATGACATGCACAGATGAATTGTTCACCACAAAACTAGCAATATGAGCTAACAAATTCAATATGGTCAGTTTTGATTTCATGTGTGCTTTAAGAGTTTAAAGACCCTTTCAAAACTATTAAGTAGGAAATAGTTAATATATATAAAATGTCAAAACAAACTTAATTTGGATGCTATTTTTTTTATTCTCATTTCATTTTTCAACCTTATTTAAATGTCCTTTCTAACCTCTCCTGTCTATATAGTACGTAATCACTCAAAGCTCCAGAAAACCACAACAAATCCCTTGTGTGGTTGTCACTTGGCAAATAAAGCTCATTTTGATTGAGAAAAAAAGACCTTGCATGATAGCAGGAGAATTAGAGCAGGACACATGGAAGCTCGCGGTACTACATTATGGGGTAATTCCAGTTGAACGGCACCGCAGTCTCTAGCGTTTGGCGGTGGTGTGTTACAAGCCTAGATGACATAACCAGGTCAGGAACCCACTACGCTGAGGAATGCAGTTCTGTCTGGCTCGTTTTCCTCTCTGGTTCCAATCTTGGTGCACCCTCGGTGTTTGATTTCTGGCCAGGGTAATGCTTACCACCCCTTGGCCACGTCTACTCGTGCTCGTCTGCAATCACTCAGTGAAAGGTGGACGGCTGACGCACCAGACCACAGTGCATGGGAACAGTAAGGTCAGCCGGCTCACATTTAAAGCGGCGGGCAGCGCTCTCCGTTTCCATCCAGCGAGCCGGAGGGAATCTAGCTGAGCTGACTCATTTGGCCATTGGGGCGACTGCCATTTAGCTTAAACGGGAAGGCCACCCAGATTCAAAAAACCAGGCTCAGAATCATTTCAGACTCGTTTTACTGACAAACTCATGGGTAGGCTGATTTTTATAAAAAGTATTAAATAGCACTCAAAAGTCCATAACATGATGCATTTCTGAGTGAAACTAAATATGCAAAAAGAAAACAATGGAACATCATGTCATATTGAAGTTGACTGGATTGTAAAGGGTTGAAAAATATGAGAGTTTGGCAATTGGAGATGGTGCATAAACTAGCGACCAGATTGGACACTTTTGTCCATCTCTTTAAGCTTTTGTACAAAAACTGTTCTTCGTACACGGACTACTCAATGAGCTGGATTTCGTTATTGACAAATTGACATTATCCTGGATCAATTTGTTCTTCAAAACTCATCCGTGAGTTGTTGTTAACTGTTATAGTAGCTCAAACCTGCTCGGGTGCAGGCTTATTTCATATTAACAGGATTACATCAGGTAATTTCAAGCAAAGATAATACTGAAAGTATGTACCAAATTGACACACTTACAGTAGTAGTTTGATACACTTGGGAAAATAGTAAATTGGTAAAAAAATAAATAAATAAATAAATAAATAAAAAAAATTATATATATATATATATATATATATATATATATATATATATATATATATATATATATATATATATATATATATATATATATATATATATATATATATATATATATATATAT